AAATAACAAAACATTTGGACTTGTATTAAGAAAATAAGATAATATACCGTTGAATTATGTTCGTTATAACAAATTTAAAGAAAGAAACGTTTTTATGAATAGTACTATACGGTATGAACAATATTATGAACAGTAATGAACATAACCATGAACAGTACCGAATGCTAAAATTTTCCAGAATGTTACAGGTGTATCAATACCCTGCTACAGTATACCGATACCTTGCTACAGTAATTTTGGTAAAACATATATAAACTCATAAAAACCTTAAACTTCCATCACTATAACGTTACCATTTACATAAATACGTTTAAAACATTACAAAATCGATCAGAGCATATATACTTAATTTAACGACTTTGTTTACATGCCAACCTCTATAAATATTACAAAATACATACTATTAAATTCTTTTCTGATCTGATCTTTGGAAAGGAGAAACTAATCTGTCTTGCATAACTTTTATCATTTTTCATATTCTCGGAACCTACGTATGAAACACTCACATGCTAAGTCGTTGACTTAGTGAGGCATATAAAAAATGTAATAGAAACCGTAAAACATTTCATATATCAAAATGCATACATGCACATATACCATCATTATCATAATCTTTATTTATCATATGATCTTGTACTTATCATTTTTGTATATCATATAACACATATCATTTCACAAAGAAACACACATAACATCATATAATCCATGTGAAACATTTCATATCACCAAAAACATATACATAACATATATTGTATTTGTTATTATCTCTTTATTAGCCCATGTACATTACTAAGAACTCAAGGTATTCGAGTACATTGAGGTTGTGCATTATTGTTGTCACCACAGCTCGTATGGGGTCCCACTAGGGGCATGTGAAATTTGTCCCGAATGACCTCTGTATACTGTATATGTCCAGAAGGACCGCGTAGACCCTCGACTCTTGGCATACCAACTATACCTATAGCTCTCGTATCATATAACATGGGCATTTTTTCTTATGCTTCATATATTCATGTACTCATATCATTTCTTCTATCACATATCACATGTGCATATGATCATCCATTTCATATCATATAACATATGTCCTTTGAATATGTTACCATATCATCTATCATATAACTTATAGAATAACATATAAACGTATACATGTATTCATGTACATACTTTCATATATTCATGTAATTCAGTATCACATATGTCTTTTCTTCTATTACATATCATATGAATCATATATCATGTATCGAATCATGTAAACACATATAACTTATGCATGCATTGTAAATCAAATAACATTTTCGGAGTTACTTCTTACCATAGTAGCTTCGTCACTGGCTCATCTCAAGCCAATACTTGTTCAATAATATAAGTACAATTAAATTGCACTCACCTTAACACTGTATATATTCAAATCCACTTCTATGATTTATTTCTTTGGATTGATCTTATCTTTGCAGTCGTTTCAGAACTTGCTTGTGCTTGATATCTACACAATTGTACATTTTTAAGGTAATTATCAGATATCTACACCTTGTAATTTGATAATAATAACTTAAAAGAAATTAATACACCCGTATTCATTTTTTTCCTTTAGGGGTATTGATACCCTCCCTAAGGTATCGACACCCTTATTATATTCTGTGATTTTTCGTTCAAGAGGGTATCGGTACACATATATAGGGTACCAATACACTCTGCTCAAAACATGTTTTTCACCCAAAAATTCATCATTTTTAGCTTAAATTCTTCATGTTTCATTCCCTTTTATATTCTTAACTCAAGTACATATACTTAAACTAATTTCTACTCATTCAATACATCCTTAACCTCAAAATTTTATCTTTCATATGGAAATCAATAATCATACCAAAATTTCAAGATGCTCTAAATCCAATTCTATCACTTCATATCTATTAATTAAGTTGATGACAAGTCAAATTTAGTTTCAAATTCAACTTATCCACTCTTTTCCAAAAATTCACTTAAAACCCCATTCTCTTTAATCTTTCATAATTTCTTCATCTTTTGATTTCAAGACAACTTAAGCTTTCCTTAAGCTTAAGTATCACCTAAGGATCAAAACCCATTTAAAATCAACAAATAACCAAGAAATCAGAAAACTCACCTTTGCTTGGCTCTCTCTCTCTCTCTCGTATGATGAAGAAGAAGAAGATGATGAAAGAATTATGTGGAATCAAAATGGATTCCACGTGTTTCCCTTATCTTATAAGGGAAATAAAAATCTTTCATGTTAAATGACCATTTTACCCTTTAATTCCTTTAATAATTACTAACAACCCTTTCAGAAATATTTTCAAATAAGTCATTGAACTATTCAACTTTTCTACTTTAATCACCAAATTATGAAGTTTTACAATTTAGTCACTAACCCGTAGTTTGGGATGTTACAAGGATGGTTTAGAAAGGATTTAATATGCCCAAACAGGGCATTTTTTAGCATCAATATCGATATTGGAGGAATAATATCGATATTGTTCTTATGTAAGGGAAAAATTCAAGGAATTTTAGGCAACAATATCGATACGCATGCATAGAGTATCAATACTACGAGATTGGTCTCCATACCTGAAGAAGGGTTTCAAAACCAATTTACCAGAGGCCAATTTTGGTACCAATACTCATGGGAGTATCAATACTCCCATAGTTAAATTAAGTTGTCTGGTATCGATACTCAGATAGGGGTATCGATACCCCTGAGTCAGTATCGATACTGATGTGTTTAATATCAATACCACATTTATCTTTCAAATAAGAATTTGGGAAAATTTATAGACAACATTGAGGGACTAAAAAAACATCCTTAAACTCTCCAATAAGACACTAAGTGATAGCCACATTAATAATGTGAAATTTCACTTAGAAACCCTATAACTTAGATAATCATAAGTTTTGTATTATGTGATGTTCAGGAAATAAGATGAACACCCAAATCACTCTATAACAGGGAATGATTGTATGTTAAGTTATAACCAACCCTAAGATAGTATACTAGACACTAGACACTTCTTTACTAATTGGGCGTAGATGCCTCAAGGCTCGATGGAGCAAGTTAGTCGGGTGTGCATTTTCGATGTAGAATTTTATATTTCCACCCTAGGTAGAATAGAGGGGTGCGTGAGCTCCGAGATGTAACCCCCCAACCACACCATGATGCCTACATCTGTATGTATGATTTAGTTAGCATACGCGTATGCTAACATTTATGTTATAAGTATGTGAAATAGAAGATACATATAGTATAGTTTGGTTATTAGTGTAGCACTGAGTTTGTGAGCTAATTATTCAGAATTTGTTTCCGTACACAGGTTAGTAGCAGGAGCTTCTGGAGGAGCCATCGCCCTAGACCATTTTAGAAGCTATCCGCCAGCTTTTGAGTACGTTGAGTCAAAACGATACGTGGAATGTTTTGTAAATTTAAATTCAAGTTACTTTAGGGGCTCATGTATTTGTAAAACAAGTATTGTGTATTTATTTTGATATTATTATGATGGATAAATTTCTAAATGAATAAATATGTCTTTTTAAAAAGAAATTTTTTTGGGCTAGCCACTCTGGTGGTCCGTGTGACGTCATGGTCCGTCGATCTTCGGGTCGTGCTGGATTAGGGCGTTACATGTGGGGTAGGGGTAGAACAGGGAGAGGGAGAGGGAGGATGTGGGGTGGGGGTAGGGTGGGGGTAGAAGAGGGATAGTGAGAAGGGGAAGGAGGGTGAGAGTGTTTTAGATTTTTTTATTTTATTTAAATATTACATGTCGTGTTCCAATATTAATAAAAATATATAATAATTATACATTAACAAAAAAAAGTCACATCATCAGGTTGTATTGAGTAAATGATCGAGTAACTAAAAAATTTCAATGTCTAAAGTTTAGTGAGCAAATTGAAAAAATTGAAAGTACGATGCATAAAATATGAGAGAAAATAAAATTCAGTGAGTAAGCCTGTAATTTACCCATAAATTTATGTATATGTGACTTATCATTTTATCATTTTGTGTGTGTTTTTATCGAGATTATTTTGATTCAATTTAAGAATTATGTTAGTATGATTTTATTCTGATTATATTATAATAGTTATTTCTAATTTTGGTTAGATTTTGTTTTTCTCATATTGAGATTATTTTGGTTATGTTCTATCGTGGTTATATTTCTCATATATTTTAATCAGATCATAATTTATATTAATTCGATTTGATTTCAATTGTATTATAATAAATTACTTTTGGTTATGAATCTTATTTTCATTGAACTAAAATAAATTTATAGATAATGATTGTTGTGTTCGTAGTTACACATGTATCCACCACTCTGAAAATTAAGGAAATTTCAGTGCCAAATTGGCATATAAGCATGAGATTAAATTATATATCGAGATAATTAAAAGAGCGGGTTTCTGTAAATTCAAAAGAGATGCATGGATTTATATAATAATTTCGCTAATTCATTTGTTTATTCTGGCAAGCAGTCTCTAATCCAAAGTTTCCTTCATCCTCTTTTCTTCTTCTGTACGTTATTAACTGTTTCATTCATATCTATTCCTTCTGCTACAATTAACCCAATCAAGCAAGAATGTCGATCAAGAAAACCCTAACCCAGGCCCTCGCGAAAACCGCTACGGTCATCGAGAAAACTGTTCAAACTACCGTTCAGGAGGTTTCCGGACCCAAAGCTCTCCTTGACTATGAGCTCATTCACCATATTGGTTCCGCTGGCCCAGGCCTTGCCTGAAAGTTGTACTCCGCCAAGGCGCGTGATATAACGCGTCCCTACCAGTATCCCACCGTTTCCGTGTGGGTCCTTGATAAGAAGGTACTGGCAGAGGCACGTGTCCGCGCTGGGCTTTCCAAGATCGTTGAGGATTCATTCTTCGATCTGATACGTGCCGATGCAGCAAGGCTGGTGAGACTACGGCATCCTGGTGTGGTCCACGTGGTGCAGGATTTAGATGAGAATAAGAACGCCATGGCAATGGTTACGGAGCCGTTGTTTACGTATGTGGCTAATTCGATTGGGAATGTGGATAATGTTGCCAAGGTTACTAATGATCTCAAAGGGATAGTGTAGGAATTATAGAAATGAGTTGAATAGGAATTGATTTAAAGAGAAGCAGAAATCGGATTGATCGCTCTAACCTGATACCATGTCTTATTCTTTTGCAATGCTTTTATCTCTTCTTCCACAGCCTTTTTCCACTCAGGAGATTGAAATGCTTCTGTCACATTTCTTGGGATTTTCACAATGTTAATGCTGGTAGTGAAGTCCCTGAAATTAGACTGTAATTTCCCATATGCAACATACTTATTTATGGGATGAGCAGTGCATTTTCTTACCCATTCCTAATAGCAATAGGAAAGTCATCAAGATCAACAGTAGTAGCCTCTTGGTAACCATCATTACCTTCTGTTTCAGCTGCAACAGGATCCGAATCTGGTTCTTGGCAAATGCTAGGCTGACTGATTTCTTCAGCAACATATTTCATTCTTCTTGAGTAAACACTGAGTTGTTTCGGTTGGGGAGTTATGGTTTCAGGGTCATTGTTAGGTGCATTTTTGGTAGTGGTGGAAGGTGTTTTGTAAGGACTAGAGTGCTGAGATAAGGAGGAAGGTAATTCATCAGAGTTATTTAGGTTATTCCCATCACCCTCCCTAGGAACTGGGACAGTGCTAGCCGGCTTTGGAGAGACAGTAATAGGTAAGGAAATGATAGGCTGTAAAGAAATATTGGTTTGAACAGGTTGAAATTCCTTGTAACTAATAGGCTGTAAAGAAATATCGGTTTGAACAGGCTGTAATTCTTTGTAACTCTCCCCCTGAATTTCAGTTCCTGAAAAATAAGGTTGGTTTTCAAAAAATGTAACATCAAAGGAGACATAGGTCTTTTTTATGGAAGGTGAGTAATACTTGTAACCCTTCTGACTCAAAGAATAGCCCAAGAACACACACTTTATGGACCAAGGATCTAATTTCCCTCTGTTGTGGATATGAACAAATGCTGTACACCCAAACATCCGATGAGAAAGACTTGAGTTTAAATGTTTAAAATGGGGATACAGCTAAAACAGAACCTTAGTAGGAATTTTGAAATCTAAGGTATTACTTGGCATTCTATTGATGAGGTAAGTGGCTGTAAGAAGAGCTTCCCCCCAAAGATACTTAGGAGCATTAGCAGCAAACATAAGAGACCTAGTAACCTCTAGAAGATGTCTATTTTTCCTTTCTGCTACCCCATTTTGTTGAGGTGTGTTGACACAAGAAGTAAGGTGAACAATGTCTTTTTCCTTAAAGAAATACCCAAGGGTTTTATTCAAATACTCACTCCCATTGTTACTCCTTAGAATTTTGATTTTTGTGTCAAATTGGGTTTCAACTTTTTGATAAAAACTTTTAAAGAGAGACTCAACCTCAAATTTTTCTCTCATTAAGAAAACCCATGTTGTCCTAGAGTAATCATCTATAAAAGACACAAACCACTTATACCCAGAAATACTTTTGACAGGAGAAGGGCCCCAAATATCACTATGAATGATGGAAAAAGGTGTTGTTGGTTCAAATTTGGCTGGAATATATGGTTTTCTGGTGTGTTTGGCCATTTGACAAATTTCACAGGAAAGCAAAAATGGATCTTTATTAATGAATAAGTTCGGTAACATTTTGAAAAGATAGAAAAAATTAGGATGACCTAATCTAGAGTGCCATAACATAATTTTATTGGTATTGAGATCAGAAGATAAAATTGGTTTCCTAAGAGCACTGGATAAGGCATGATTATGAGATGCTTTACCTCAAAGGGTGTACAATCCTTTGCCCAGCCTAGCACTGCCAATCACCCTCTTCGAGCCCTATGCCTGAAAATGCAACCACCACTACCAAACACAACATTACAACCAAAATCTTTAATTAATTTGCTGACTGAAAACAAATTGCATGCAAGTCTAGGAACATAGAGGAAATTATGAAGTAGTAGATTTTTGTTTAATGTAACAGAACCACTCCCTTTGACTGTAGTGAGAGAGCCATCTGCTATTTTGATAGAAGCTGGTAAGCTGCTTTCACTATATTCCTCCAAGAGATCAATATTTCATGTCATATGATCTGATGCACCCGAGTCTATTATCCATTGTACCGAGGAAGCATATGGATTATTTCCATCAGTAGTAGTATAAGTCACATTTGTAGGCTTGGTTGTCATACTGCTCAAAATCTGCTGCAGTTCCTCTATCTGTTTCTTGCTAAAACTGCTTGAGGAATCATCTTGAGAGGCAATATGAGGCTCCTTTTGAAACCTGGACCGTGTGGGTTGCCAATCAGTTGGTTTTCCGTGCAGCTTCCAACATTGATCTATCATATGGCGTGGCTTCTTACAATGTTCACACCAAAGGCGATTTTTCCTCTGTTGCTTTGAAAATTTGAAATTTGAAATCTGAAAATCAGATTGAGAGGGTCTGGTCTGGGAAGTGATTTCGGATGCTGAGGGATCCGGATTAGCCATAAAAAACAAGCCTCTCTGTGATCTACTAAGTGATACCGTGGATGTGTATTCAACGATGTAGTTCTCTAGGATCAAATTTCTGCATGATGGTGGAACCGTGGTGGGTTTATCCATTTCAGTGGATTTAAGTAGAATTGTAATTTATGTAAAATTGACTACACAAGTATTTTGAAGTTTAGTCAATGTACCAGTATTAATATGTTTTAGGTCATTTAGTTGTATGTTTATTTTGTTGTGTCAATAGAGCTGCGGAAGTATATGAACTTTAAGAAGAATAATTACTAAAGTAAAGGAACAAGGATCTTGGACTAGGAATGTAAAATATGGTAAGTTACACTTACTGAAAGTAGGTTTGCTTGTTGGTCTATCAGTGTTTGATCTAAATGTATTACTTTGTTTGGAGGTAAAAGGTGTGCCGCAAGGAAAAAGGTTAGTGAAATTTTATGCCTTGTAAAATAGTAGGGCTTAATTGAAATTGGGGAGTTTGTTAACAAGAATTGATTAGAAGATATGTATGGTGTTTAGAGGGCCTGAAGGATATAAGAAAAGTTGATTGCATATAAATTTCAAATGAGGGGAAACCATGCCGAGAGATGCATTTGCTGCCCTTACTCATAGGAGATTTTCAAAACCATATATTTAAGTTGTCGAACAACTTGTCCATTGTCTATGTCATGAAAATCAACTAACTATGAAAATTTTAAGAAAATTATTAAATCAACTAACTTTAATCAATTCGCCATATCCAAAAACTCTGAACTCTGGAATGTAGTTTTAGGAAAATTAAGAACATAAGCGATAGTTTTTAGGAGTTGTTACCTAGATAAACACTGTTTTGCAGGCTTTCTGCAATAATGCTTAATTGCTTAGTTCATGATAGAATTTATGTAAAAGAAGTTTAGTTATTTATTCATAGATACACCTAGATGGACAATGCCTTTTGTAACTAAGATGGAATATGGTCACTTGCAAAGTAGGTGCAACGGTTCAACCTTGCATAAAGGTATAGATAGGTCCAATTAAACAATGCTTAATTGGAGTTTGGCATCCGTATAGTTGACACATTTAACACTATGTTGGAGAGTTTAGAGGTGGAAGAGATTAGAGTGAATGGATGGAAAGATTACTAGAGCAGAATTGAGTAGTAAAAATGTTTTAGATTTTCTCAGAGTGGGCAAAGAGAAGGTTAAAGTTTTAAGTTTTTATTACTGTAATCCGTTTGGGGCATTGCTAGTTTTAGAATGATGGCCCTTTTATTTCTTTTAAACATCGGATATGCATGTTTCTTATATTTGGCATGTCTTTATATAAGATTAAAAAGTTTTTTTTTGAATATTTCAGCGGGGATGTTGAATGTTTGAATCACCCCCTTGTTATGTATATTGTGTTGACATCATATCTTTATGATTTTAGCAAACTTAAAGTGTTCTTGCTTCACAGGAAATGAGTTTGTTGGAGGTGAAGCATGGTTTGCTTCAGATCGCGGAATCCTTGGATTTTCTTCATAATAATGCACATCTTATTCATCGAGCTATATCACCTGAGGTTGTTTCTTTATATTTTTTATTTTTCCGGATAAACATATTTTCCTTATTTATACTAATATAATCCTCAAAATGCTTTGAAATTTCCTTTTTCGTTGAGTTTTTTTTGAGTTTTTTTTCACGTGTTGCATTAAAGAACTAGTGACAGTTTTGAGATTACATGGCGGGTAATAGTGGGTGGGGAATATAACTGGTTTGCAGATATGTCTGATGAGTGAGTTTGTACTTTGCAGAATGTCTTAATTACATCAAGTGGAGCTTAGAAGCTTGGTGGGTTTGGTTTTGCTATCTCAATGGATGAGGTCTCTAGTGATTCAACCACTGTGAAGGCCTTCCATTATTCTGTAAGTTGGACTTTTGATATATTAACAATTTTGCTCAAAATTGTAAGGGTGGGTGGCGGTTGAGAAGAAATGTCAGGTTTGAGCCACGATACTTTTTTATTGCACTTGAAAGAAAAAGATTAATTCAATTCATTTTCCATTTGAATCAACACATTTGCTCTAGCTATATTTCTCTGAGTTCATTTTATATGAAGCAACTATGTTCAACACATTTTTGACTGATATGGGCATAGCGGTATGACTGTCCATTTATACGAAAAAGCATGAAAAATTGGGATGTCAGGCAAATATGCATATATGATACTCACTTCGAGTATAAGTAGCATACTTTAGTTCACTATTGGTAATGTACTTAATTGTCATGTCATCTTTCATTAAGTTAGCCCCCTTAGGAATGTGGATATGCATGTTGTGTATACTTTTAGGTTCCAATATGATACATGATAGATGTTGTACATTGTCGTACATAATAATCTTATTTATTGTCTTTGTGCATTTTACGATGTCATTCTAACTTCATTCTCTCATTACTTATTGGTTTTGACATAAATACTTCCGTTCTTAGTAGTCGTCTTTCTACATTTTTGGCTTTGCTTTCTTTTGACTTTTTAGCCATGTGGTGTTTGGTGACTTTGGTCTTTGCAAATACATATGATTGTTCTCTTATGATATTTTTTTCATTTCAGTCACCATGATGGATGGGTTTTACATGTGCAATGATGATCTAAATTTATCTTTCATCATATTCTAATTTGATATGGTCTGTGCAGGAATATGATAGTGAAGATTCTGTCATGCCTCTTCAGCCATCATTGAATTATACTGCACCTAAATTGGTTCGAAGTAAAGCATCTTCAGTTGGATGGTCTTCTGACATTTTCAGTTTTGGATGCCTGGCCTACCATTTAGTTGCTCGAAAGCCTTTGTTTAACTGCAACAACAATGTCAAGATGGTACTTACAAATTAGAATTTTATCCTTTTTCGATTGCCTATTTTGTTCTCTGAATAAGAAAAACTACTTTCCTATCATGTTTATATCATGGCTAGTGGCTTTGATATTATTTTTGGCTGCCAGTTATAGAATAAAAAAAACAAAATTCATTTGATCAACTTAAGTCAGGATTACAATTTACGGAAGGAGGTAGGGAGATATCTGTACTATAAATTTTATTCCCCTACCACATTTAACTTTTGCTAAAATATAAGCAAAGAGATTAGCCCTACTCCTAACATGACGGAGAGAACTGATAATTTCTAAGTTCCTAAGATAAAATGTAAAATGTCAAAAACTATATCACCATGTTCTCAGAAGTTGAACTGTCTGGAAATTCCTTTATAGCCAGCAATGTATCACTTTCAAAACATAAATATATAAATCCATGTTTTCTTGCAATGTATTTTAGTAAACAGAACAAAACAACATAACACCCTCTGAATCTCATGTGACAGATACCAAATTTGCGTTTGTCTTTAGAGAATTATCAACTGCATTAACATTGACAGCTGCCAACATGTAAAAAAAATTAACTTTAGGCATTACATGTGCTAGCTAAATCACTTCCATTTAGGCATTGCGTGTGCCACTTGCTATATTTGAACGTTGATTGTGATAGTTCAAGTATTAGGTTCTCATGTCCTTTATCGTCAAGAATCATACATTTGGAAATAGGAACCAATATGATACGTAAGTTGCACTATGAAATAATATGAGGTTGTGTTTGGGAACTTGAATTTCAAAAGATGGGTTTAGATTTCAAAAGCAATATGCATTGTGTAATAAAACACATCTAAATGCAATATTCATTATTATTTTTCAAATTTATGGATTTGTTATTTGTTAGGCGTCTGTTTAGTCAAAGGTGAACTTAGTGTACCTATAGATATCTGTGAATTTGGCAATCATGTTTTTATACCTTTCAAATATATAATTATTTTGAATCTTAACTAATTTGAACATGACATATGCATTTCTTTTTTTTTTATAGGAATAGAAGGTCTCATTAAAAACCTCCCTCATAGTTGCCTCTTGTAAAGAGACAACTAGCAGAAGGAGGAAAAGAGTGCCTAAATTTATTAATAACCCATAATTACGTAAGATTCCAAACAATACATAAAATTACCTAACATAGAACCATAACCAAAATAATACACCATAACCACTACTCATAAGAACAACCTCCTCACTCACTAATCAATTCCAGACTTAGCTAGACAATCAGCTTCCACATTAGTACATTTGCTGATATGCTTAATTATAACATTAGACTGCACAACTGTCTTCTGAATTTCTATAATCAGATCAACAAGGTGAACCAGGCAAAGTTCCGGGCTGTTGATCCACTTCACAGCAAGAAACGAGTCACTTTCCAAAATCAGAAATCCTTTGTCCCTCCAAACTGACTCAAAAACCACTTCTAACCCCACTTTGATAGCAAATATCTCAACAAGAATAGGAGAACAAGGTCCTAGTGCTCTAGAAAAAGAAACCAACTTGTTCTTATCGGCATCTTTAAGAACTCCACCAATACCACTTCTTCTCCAATCAAAATTAACAGCCCCATCAACATTCTTCTTAAAATAACCTGTAGGAGGAGGGCGCCATTTTACTCTTGAGGATCTAAAGTAAGAGGGGGACTTATGCAAATTCTACAAAGTAAGATCTCCCACAAGGCTGTCCACTTGGATAGACACATCCTTGTTTTTAGCTAAAAACCATGAAGCCACCCTATACCTCACCAAAAAGAACAGAGTAGCACTATCCAACTTGCCATTCTTAAATACAATCTGGTTCCTACACAGCCAGACAGACCACAAAACAGCTATGGGAATAAATCTCCAAATACACGAGTTTGGTCTTAATTGCGGCCATGAAAGCAAGAAGCCTTTCAGATTATTAGGGAGAACTGAATTAACTTTCCACATACGGAGGAGTTTGACCCAAATCTGCCAAACTTGGACACAAGAAAAAAATAAATGCCTAACCAATTCTAGTTCCACTCCACATAACACACATAAAGGGGATTCAATATTTCTGACTTCTCTTCTCATTAAGACAGTTTTAACAGCCAACTTCTGATGAATAATTTGCCAAATGAAAATCTCCACTTTTGGTGGGACAAAACCCTTCTACACTATCTCCAACCATGAATTATCTGATTCTAACAAACTTGAAACTAATCTAGAGCAAGATTGAACCGAGTACACACCATCCCCACTACTTTTCCACGCCAAGCAATCTTCACCCTTCAACAGAGGCTTAAAATTATCCAACAGAACCATCATTTCCATCCACTGATCAAACTCACTGTCCATTAAGTTCCTCCTATGTTGTAAATCCCACACCCACTCCTCATTAGACATACACCCGAAATTAGCCACAACCTCTTCCTTATTAACTGACATTGCAAAAATCCTTGGAAACATAGACTTCAAGGAATAGTTAGAAATCCATGAATCATGCCAAAATCTAATTGAATCTCCTTTTCCCACCTGAAGCACAACATTATTTCGAAAGCATTACCCAAATGAGTCATTAGTCCGATATTTATTTACAACTCCTTTCCAAATCTAAGACACATTAGATGGCAAATTATCATCTAAAACAATAGAACTCGTTCCTACATTATACTTGGAACATATCATTGTATTCCACCAAGAGTCCTTCTCCAAACCAAACTTCCAAACCCATTTGCCCATTAAAGCTCTATTCCAAAGCTTAAGATATGAAATTCCCAAACCCCTAACTCTTTATTTTTACAAACAACATTCCAGTTAACCCAATGAAACCTTTTCTTCTCAGCCGAAGAACCCCACAAGAAGTTGGCCATAATTGATTCCAGTTTCTTCCTCACAACCACTGGAATTTTGAACATTGACATATAATAATTAGGAAGTGAATTCAGGACTGATTTTATCAAAACTGTCCTCCCTATTATGGATAGAGAAGATACTTTCTAGCCTGCCAATTTCTGGTAGAACTTCTTCACAATCGAATCCCATAGTTGAATAGAATTTCTCTTTTCTCCCAATGGTAATCCCAAATATTCTGTCAGAAAAGAGTCTCTTAAGCAACCAATAGATTCTGCCCACTCCCCAACAATCTGATCTTGTAAGTTAATACCAAAAATTCTGCTCTTCACCAAATTCAGTTGTAGCCCTGTACACAACTCAAATACAACCAGGACCCTCTTCAGATCTTTGAAGCTTTACAAAATATGATCAAGTTATCCGCAAATTGTAAATGAGTCAGCATCGAAGAAGAATTATCAGAACCTATTTGAAAACCCTCAAACAGCCCCAAAACTGCTGCTTTAGATAACAACAAATTCAAAAACTCACCCACTAGATAAAATAGTAGCGGGGATAAAGAACACCCTTGTCTCAGCCCCCTAGATATTTTAAAGCTTTCAGTAGGAGATCTATTAACGAGAACTGAAATAGAAGTTGAACTTAAGCAATTGTATACCCACGACCTCCACCTTCTACTAAACCCCATACACTCCATAATTTGAATTAAAAAATCCCAGTCAACAGTGTCATATGCCCTCTTGAAATCCACTTTAAAGACGAGACCTTCCCTTCCTTTCCTCCTCCAGAAATCGATGGCCTCATTAGTAATTAAGGAACAGTCACAAATCTGTCTTTCCGGAATGAAAGCAAATTGAGATTGACCAATCAACCCTCCCATGCACAGCCTTAACCTTCTTGACAGAACTTTAGACAAGATTTTATATAAACCTCATACCAAACTAATTGGTTTGTAATCCTCAATGGAAACCAGATTTTGCTTTTTCAGAATTAGTGTAATGAAAGAATGATTGACACATTTCCCAAACTTCTTCCCTTCATAAAAATCCTCGAAAAACTTATGAATATCTCCTTTCAAAACCGGCCAAAATTTCTTAAAAAATCCCATATTCAACCCATCTGGACCCAAAGCTTTGTTGCTATCCGAAGACTATTGCCTCCCAAATTTCCCCCTCTGAAAAATTCATATCCAATTGTGCAACTTGATCCTCTAAAAGCCTATTAGAATTCAATTCCAGCTTTTCAACTTCAGTCGTCGGAATGGCATTGTAAGCGTTCTTGAAAAAATCAAAAACATAAGCTTTTATCATCATCGGCTCCTCAAGCACATTACCACTGACATCAAAGCATTAAGAGCATTAATCCTCCATCTAATTGTAGCACATTGATGAAAATACCTTGAATTTCGATCCCCATCCATAATCCACTGCGCCCTTGAATTTTGGAACCAAACTAATTCTTCTTTTTTATACAATAACCATAGTTCACTTTTTGCTTTTGCAACATCCACCATAAAAACGAGAGAATTCCTTTGTTGTAGTTGAACTTCTTAATTTGAGATTAGCCTCTCTTTGCTGTCAATCAAACTGTGTAATTGCATTCTGCTTTTATTAGACCAATTCCTGATTTCCACCTTTGTTTCTCTAAGAACCTCCTCAATGCTTAGCCTCTTCCTACTCTTCACTTCTGAAATTTTCTCTTCCACTGCTTCCTTAAAACCCTCCTCCTCCATGATATAATTCAACAATCTAAAGGGTTTCAGATCCCAATTTATCTTGTTGGATTCCAAAGTGTTGGGATTTTCGAAAGCTCAAATCGATAATCAGAATTGCTTGCAAAGAGGGTCGGGATCGGTTTTTGTGTTTAGGGAGTAAGGAGATTAAAAGATAGAGAATTGCACAGCGATTTAGAGTGGTTCGATTTCTCAACCAAGTCTACATCCACTACCTTAGCTCCTCACCAAGGATTTTCCAACAAATTCACTAATTTGTTTTCTTTTGAGGACAAAGAGTAACCTTACAAACTCCCTAGTTTTTTCGGTCTAAACTAGAACCTTTCCCTAGCTTTTACACGGGATAAGCTAGAACATTTCCCCTTTACAAAAGGATAAAATAAGTAAACAAGAAAACCTCTCTAAGGTACGTG